TCCTCACTGGAGTGAATTTTTGTAGGAACAGCAAGAGGTGTATCCCTTATCTCAAGGTAACACCTTAGCAAAATGTCAAGTTAGATGAAAAACATGTATTCCGTTACAGTGTCTTGATTATATTAGAGAAAATCTAATCACTGAACCTACTTAGACTAAATTTTAACAAAAGAAGAAGAATATGGTCTCAGCCTGCAGACACCCAGCCACTGCAGATGTTTTCAGCCCAAGTCTAGCAAAGTTACAAGCAACTGAAAATAGGCTCTAACAAAAATAAGTGAAGCCACTGAACTGTAGGAGGTATTACCAGCTCTATCTATAAACATTTAGAAAACTCTAACTCTTTCAGAAAGGCAAGGCACACAGTTTATTCTCCTTTCCAACATAAAGTTATGTGAGAACACTTAGTATTTACAGGGACGATCAGATACACCTCAGTGTGTACATTCAGAGAGTCATTAAATAAGTAATCAATAAATAAACCCAAGAATCATAGAAAGGAAAGGTCATCAACAGTAGAAATACTATTTTTTCAAATTCCTTTCACCTCAAACGTAGCAACCATTGAATCCCCTCCTACAACGTCTGCCTTTTTATACCGACAATTTAAAAAAGTTAACAACTGAGTAATTTTTAAAAAGAAAATAAATGATGAAAAAGTATTACACACAGAATTCTAGTCGGCTGAAGTCCTTTTTAAGTAGATACCAAAAAGGGTATCATTTGGTCTTAAAAGAAAACTGAAGTTAAATACAGCTAAAGTAGTTGTGTAACACTAAATCAATACCATCTTGACTACGGGAATTTTCTGATAAAATTTTTTTTCATATAAATATAGAAACAAGGACGCAAACATCTCAAGAGATCTGAAGCATAGATACAATGATAGATGTAATCAACTTAAACAGCAGTGTAAGATGGTACTGCAGCTGAGAATAATGAATTCCTGCCCATCCAATTACAAAGTTTAAATAGTCTTTTCTAGATTTAACATGTTTTATGTCTCACAGCAGGGACAGGATAATAACGTGCTTGTAGTCAGTTCCTGCTTAATTGTGAAGCCACGATCAGATGTTCATATCCAGTACTATTCTTACGCAGTGAGTTAATGCTTGGTCACTATTCTCCTTCCACAGCTGATAACTTAGTAAATTATCAAAGCTGGACTGAAGCTTGCACTAAATTTTTTCTTCACCAAAACAAGTGCGCCACTTCTCAGGGAAAGTTTTATGCAAATATTAAAATATCATGAGCAGTTAAGTTTTCTTCATGCACACTTTGTGCTGTGGTCAGTCAAAAGCTTGAACTCCAGCCTGTGACTTTTTTTCCCTAAATGTAACAGAATGAGTTGGGGAAGAAAATCTCCCATTTTAAGCAATTAGTACAATTGATTTTTTCAGCAAAATCATCCTTCGTCATTATTACAAAACACTGCAAATTACTCTCTAATATGACTAACCTACTTTTCCAAAGCACAAATAACCCTGGGGCTATCACGTAGCGTAACAAAAAAATATGCTGCTTGCAAATAACAAAATCAAATTAACATTTCCAATCCAGATGGATACATCTGGTCTAGGAAATGAATAAGGCAGCAAGGAATTTGAATTAGTCTCATCCTTGGAGTTTGGGTTTTGACTCTTTGACTAATCACTACATTTCAAGCAAAGCAGAATTCATTAACCAGTGCTCCAAACTGTCTAGCGGTACAGAAGAGCCCGCTGGATTCCCTGTCCATGAATTAACTGCTTCTCGAAGTAAATGAGGCTTGAGATGGGTCTATCCAAAAGGATAACGTCAGAGAAGCCAGCATTTTATATTTTTTTATTTTATATTGCTCAACAACAGCTGCTTAAACTTTTGGAGCCACCCAGTGTCTACCCCCTTCCAGTGCTCCACAGCCAAACTGCATTGTACGAGAGGTAAACGAAAGGTATGACAAAAGCAGAGGTACACTGGAGTGCCCTCCCGCCTCTACCTGCGTCAAAAGGAATAATCACCTCCTGCAGCATCCAGTGCTGCTCTTACTGAGCTTTAAGTTCACTGCTTGACTAGACCTGCAGGTTCTAGTCATCCACAGCATCCACCTCTAGCTATAGGAAATGCCTTTGATAGTTACACTTCAGAGGCATGTGACGTAAACAGTAATGAGTTCCAAACAAAAAGGTGGGACGCCCAAAATACCTATGTCATCACGACAGGCTTAGACAATAGATTCTAGGAGCTAATGGGTAATACAAATGCCCCCGGTAATTGTGCAGACATTGCAGCCCTTATGAGCTTCATGTTTTACAAACTGTAGCTAGATCATTCTGCAAAAGTTGATGGAGTTTGTGACGGCTACAGAAGGCTCATAGGTATTGCAAATGAAGCAGACGTGTTTGAAACAGTCAAAAACTGATCCTTCTAAATTCATGCTAATTACAAAGTGCACAGATAACCCATCAGAATAGACTGAAGCTGGCTGAAGAAATGCTTTGAACTGCACACTCCAGTCCTTTTTTGGATCTGCATTGTCTACTTTTTCTGATTGTCCTCAGTAAAAGGAGGCCACAGCTGCTTTCCACAGCTACCACCTTTTGGGGTGATGGGTTTCATGTTGGCAGAAGCTCAGCTTAGGGCTGCACATGTACAAAACAGAATTACCCTGGGCCGAGCTGACAACATGCAAGGTTACAACAGCTATGAATAAGAAAACATCTGTAGGGTGGCACTTTCAGGCTGAATGCAACTATGAGTTCCACTGAAAAAAGAACAGACTTTATAAGAGTCTGCTAATAACACTGCTAATGTTGATTTTTTTCCCCTCTGAGGAAGAGGAATTGTTACAATTCTGGAACAAAACCAAGAGAAGACAGATCGTTACACTAGAACTGTTAGAAAAAAACAATAATACCTTAATACGAAAGAATATTCAGTTCTTGCCACAGCTTGTTCCAAACATGAAAAGATACTCAATTCTTGTCACAGTTTATTCCATAAATGTAAATTTATTGACATATCATGAAATTATGCCAACTGATTCCTCCCTGTTCTATTCCTGCTCATCATCATCCTGTTGCGGTTCCATCCTGAACCATATTATCACCTTCTTCTTGGTTAGAAGAAGAAGCTATGCAAAACACCAGGTGCATTTCTACATCCCTCTGAACAGCAGATATTAGGTTAATAAGTATCCCTGAGTTTGCAGTTATTACAAAAAGTAAAAGTAAAGATCTTCTACATTATACGCCCATATATAAATTCTACTGCATTCTCCATCTGCAAGAGAGAACAGTGATCAAGGAACCATTATTTAAAATAAAGACCAAATTATTACAAATTCTGTTGATTTTTAGTTGAGTCATTTTCAGAGTCATAAACTTATTATAGCCAGGATACTGAAGATATGGCAAAGCCAGCAGAATGTATAATACAGTTAAGTGATAAAAAATGTGGCGTTTCTATGCCAGTGGGTACTACCATATTTCAAGGATAAGGTCTGGGCATTTACAGAGTATGACAGTACCTTATATAGAGTACCTTGCTGCCAAGCAGAATTAATTACAGCTGTAAACCTAGTGCTTTTCGTATTTGACACTGCAGGCAGTTCTGTAGACAAAAGTACTTTTATACTAATGGCTGCAAGCTTGCTACTTCTCAGATGTACCTCATTTCAAAGTCATTACTACCTTTTCAGCAAATATCAGTCCCCAAAGTATTACAGAAGTCTGTCTAAGTAGAAAAACAACCAAATGCTCAAAAGTTTTACTGATAGTTACAATCTCAGCAGTATCTGAAGATTATTTTAATGTTAGCCAACATGCTTCATTACCTATAAATGCTCAACATGGCAAGACTTCTAAATGCTTCCTTCCTGGTCAGAAATGAACTCACTAGGAAGAAACAAAAATATTTGATATGTTCTCTTCTTACCTTTTTCATTGAATGTGAAAAAGCTTAAGGTACTGTGGTTCTTAACTAACTTTTAAAGATACAATATTTTATTAAAATTTAACTAAATGATGAGTGCTTACTTAGAATACTGGGAGCTAAAGATGACCTACGAAGAGGAAAAAAAAGTGGGTTCATGCATTTTTATAGCTTACTAACGCAGACTTGACTGAATGATTACCACTGTGAAGCTTGTTCTTGCTTGCTTATATCAAGTTTTGTTTTCTGTACTTTCTAACAGTCTCTTTGGAAGATCAGGAGTGTATTTTAGTCCTCAGCTAAAGGAATGAGGTGCCATATGTCTTGCAAAGAGGAAAAATATCCAACCACTTGCCAAACATATGAATCAGTTATTAATCAAACAATAAAACAGACCAAAATT